ATCATATCAAGAGCAAACTAACACAATTTTCCTGCCCCATGTTCCAGACAGGACTCTTATCCCATCACCAAATATAGTTAGTCTTTTTCCGGCTTAAAGACATGCGCTTCCATTTCAGAGTTTTTCAACCTCTAAAAACATATCTTGTAGAAATCGTTACACTTGAAGACTTACCTACATAAAAATAGGATGAAAATTGAAGTTTGGTACATATGTGAGCAACTCTGATGCTGTTGACGTAGTAAGGAATTGAAGCTCGCTCTCTCAAAGCTGAGGTTTATAAAGCTTTTAGTTTTTTCTGCAATTTTTTTTCTAGTTTCAACTGATTTCAAAAAATTTGTTCAATATTTTTTATATTTCATTATTTTTAAAATAAAAAATCATAGGAGCTAGTTTTATTTGCAGGTTTTTAGTCACCTATAATGTTGCTCGGATTTTTTTTTGTTTTTCTACCAGCAACGACTTAAATACGCCGGATGAAACATTTGCTACTAACCAAAAATCCTCTCTACTTTCTGACTTAGAAAGTAAACTAAAATTCCCATATATATATTTTTTAAAAGAAGTATTTATTTAGAAGATCACCAAGCTTTCTTGAATTAATACTTAGAAAATGATGTCACCAATTGAGGTCGCGGCCTTAAATCAGATAATCTTTTTTACAATGAAGTCAACAAGCTACGTCACTGCCTGTGAAATTTGGATGGAATGAATTCGGGCTCTCATCTTGACTCCCCCCCCCCCCCCTCGGGGACTCGACCCCCTGCCGACCCAAAGGGTCCCCCCGTTTTTGGCCGACAGACCTTTAAATTTTTCTACAGTTGTCTTTGGCGCCATTATATACTAATTTTGAGGGAAAGCGCGCGCCAAAAAAGTGCCCAAAACTGCTTCGTTGACATGTTTTTTTTATAAATCTGACTGCGTTGCAATTTTTTTTGTCCAAATAGGATCTTATGTATTTTAAAAAAATTGCATGCATTGCAATTTTTTGTCCAAATAGTGTCTAATAGAGTCGATCGGACCTCAATTTAGTCGATCTAAAAAAAGACGATAAAATTTTCAAAAAACTTTTGAAAATCCGCTCCCCCACTCGAGAAAATCCTAGATCCGTCCCTGTTTATGGGCCAAAACTTTGTCTAAATATGTTTTTATAAAGTACTGAATAACAATGCTGAATGGTTTAAAGTGTTCATCTGAGTTACAAATGATCTCAGCTGCAAACATGAAACAAAAATTCAATCTTTTGAAAAATGATCTTAAAACAATTATTTTAACTAATTAAGTAATCATTTTCGTAATCAAGTTTCTCTTTTAACTCACCTTCGCCAATGCCTGAATCTTCGTCTCCGTTGATGTTTTTCTGTGCACCTTCCTCGCCTCTTTTGTCGTGTCTGAGGTTGCCCACGTCACAGAAGAGAAGCACAACCCAAAATAGAACTGCGATGACGAGAAAACTGCCCGGCACAATTGTGAGACAGACTCGGTAGAAATCCTCACACATGTCTCTGCAGCAAAACGAAAAACAGTAGATGAGACAACGCTTGAATATTTTTTAAAATCAGGCTATGATCCAGGTGAGTTTATTTTACTAAAAAATGAAGCAGGCGAGGATCAGAAATTTCCACGGCGCGGGCGGTGGCTGATTTTTAAAAAATTTCGAAACTCGTTTTTTTTTGGTTTAACAAAATTGATTATCCGAGGTCTCCAAAAACTATATTTTGACTAAATTTTCTGCAGCAAAGCCATTTCTTAAACAAAAAATTAATAATAGCTCTCTGTTTCTTTTTTGACGCGCGTTCTTCTGTCAAAATTACTATATATTGGCGCCAAAGGCGCTTTTGGAAAACTTTTGGGTCAGTTAGCCAAATTGGAAGTCTTTAAACAGTGTCAAAGAGGGAGGGACCCTTTGGGGGGCCAGGGCGTCAAATTTCTGCGGAGGGAGAGGGTGTACCCACTGAATCCGCTAGTGTCTTAAACAAAGCATATCACGAAATAATTTAATTTTTTCATTGGTCTGCCTTGTTTTGTAAAAAAAAAATGATCCGTCTCATATTTTTTTTTTCATTTTTTTGCAGATAAACTGACATGAATTATTGCAATTAGACAGGAGATAGTTCATTCGTCAGGCAGATACAAAAATGTTTAATCGCATGGAAGGAAATGAAGTTTAAGCCTAAATGTTTTGAAAAGAAAAAGTCTAGACGGTTTTGAGAATGACTCGAGGAACACTTACGCTTTAGATGAACAAAACCTTCAACAAATTAGTTTAAAATGGCCATCAAAACAAAACCACGTAAACAAGCCATTGAAAAAGGTCATGAATAATAAAAAAAAGATTCTGTCGAACTTACGCGGGCTGAACGACTTGAGCTATTTGCACAGCTATTCCATTGGATATCTTGTCCAGAAAACTGAAGCACCCATATGCCAATGCACCACAATGCTAAAAATTAAGCAAAACTCTCAAAGCGAAAATGATAAGTTTGAGAGTAAAACATTAGCACCACGAGGCATCTAGGACTTGCGCAAAGAAAGGGGGTAGAAAGGGATCTGGTCTAAATTTCAGAGCTGTTGTTCTGTTATGCCCTCGCAGTTGTTTTTTTTCAATTTCCTCTAAGGTAAGTGGATTTATATAAAAATCTTCATCTTCTCCTTTCAAGAAAAAGGGAGGCAAGGGATCTACTTGACGATCTCCCCCCCCCCCTTATTGTATCTACTAAAGGATCTCTACCCCTGTACATAAAAACAGTAAATTTGCACTTAAGCGTTGTATGTAAACTCGAATTTTGCTGCATTTTGATTGGTCGAACACTCTCTGCAAGTAATCTTCTAAAAAATCTCCCCCCTTTCTTGAAAGGCGGGGGGATTGTTAAGTAGATCCGAGGCAATTTATTAGTAGATTTTTTCAGCAGAACTATCCAATATTTGTTCATTTCAGATGCGGGAAAATAAGAACTCTCAAAAAAGTCAGCAAAAAAAGGAAATGAAAGATGTGGAATAGAATGTAAATATGCTTTTTCATTTAAACGAAAAGTTTTTCTTGAGTAGATACCATAGGAGGAGGGGGATTGTTAATTAAGCTCAAATATGTTGTAACATAGTGAAATAGATAGTATTTCTCATTAGCGCATTTGCAGAGATAGATAAAACAATTTTGTACAGTCATCAGACAAGGAAAATCCCCAAACTCTGCCGAGGTGAAAACAAATAGTCAAAATGGTCGAAAGATACAGTTGATTTCTCGAAAAAAGCTACACTAAAACTAACCAAAAATTCAAGCTTTTTTGGTAACTTTGGTCGAAAACTTCACTCTGTTGGAATCTTTCTCCAGTTGATATTGATCAAAACGTTTTGCCTCGGTCGAACAGAAGCAACGCAAGTGAGTTGGATCCACACAATGAAAAAAATTATCATAAGAATATGCTGAGTTAAAATCAAATACTTCAAAACAAAAACCCTGGGACTGCATGGAGCATATTTAGAAAAATTGGTTTCATTTATTTCTAAGTCAAGCCATTAGATTTTGCGAGCTATCCTCAAATTTTTTACACTTAGGTAAAAGGCAGTGAGCTTGCCACTCATTATTTTGCGTAAACTGCTTATTTCCTGTCTAAGTGCTACTTTTCCAAATGCTAATAACTTGCGGTCCAACCGTCGGAGTTGGCTCAAGTTAAATACATGATGTATCCTATCACTACCTATCAAATCCCAAAGTTTTGGTTTGCGAGGAACGACTTCCCGAAGTCAGGGTGGGGACTATTTGCTTAGGGCATAACACCAGAAGTAGGGGTCCACGGGTCTGGGATTCTAAACTTAAGCTTTCTTCAACTACATCTATCATTTAAAAAATTTTGGTCCCAATCCAACCGCTAGATACTGAGTTCTGATAGGGCTATTTGCACTTCCAGATACCGTTATCACCTGGGCCAAGGGAGTCCGAGGGTTCCGGAGTTTTGCATGTCCGCGTCAAATCATCTCATATATCCGCCCTGTGAGTTTCATAAAGTTAGCTAACATAGTTTTTTTTATTGGGGAGTATCACTATCAACACCGTCTTATAAATTTCTCTAGAGGTGGGACTAATTGTTTTGAGGCTCGAACAATTTCGAGATTGGTCGTTTGTTTGCCTTTCTACTTATCGTATTGACTAAATAATACCAAGATACGTACTACTAATAAGTTTTCTATTTTTCATGCATTTCGCAAAGTAAAACTCTCAGTCGAATTCTCGGTTTAGCGAAAAAGTGTTAGGATCACCGATCCTACAATAGAAAATTAGGTTAAGAATCGCAGGTGGGGAGAAGAGTTTTAATTTCTCACTGTTCTTGGTCCAATCATATCAGATGTGAGTGATAGGGCTGTAACTAGAAGGGTGCCATTAGCTGCACCCATGATCACGGACAACAGGTAGTGCCATATTTGTTGTATGCCCGAGTTATGACCCTCTTTGAGAAACCACGCCATGGTGCAGTAGGCGAAGCCCAAAAGGAGTGCTATGAAGTAGATTGCCTAGATAAATATCATATCAAAATATTTTTGGAAAAAAATTAACAAATTACCGAAAAGTCCATGTGAAAACGTTGTAAAAAGAAATAAGCAAAATTACACCGCTATCGGAAGGCGAGGCAGCACCTTTTTCCCAGTAAAATCATAAAAAACATCGGTATTCCCAAAAAGTGAATCCATCTTGGTTTTTTCTTTCGAGGAGAAATGGCTTGAATCTTCATTTTAATACGCGATAACATTTCTTTATTTTGGGTTCAAAGCAAAGTTGAATTTAACGGAATGACTTACTTTTCTTCCCATAAACTTGTTCATTACTGGCATGAGAAGAGAAGCTAAAAAGCCGCTGATGAACACGACAAGGGGCAGCACTGCTATTGACGTCTGAAAAAAAATAATAACTACAATTAGTCCTATTTTTATTTAAAACGAATGTAAAAAAAAGAGACAGACGGTAACCTTGCTTAAGTTGAGTGTGGTTGATATGTATAGAGGGTAATACACCTGAGTGAAATTGCAGATTAATCTCGTCTGCATGTAGACGAATCCAATCTGTAAACAAATTAATAGTTCATTTAAAACGTAAAAAAAATCACATCATCAATCTCATCTTTTGTCGCCATGAGTCAGTCACTTTTAAAGGAATTTTAAGAATGAAGAGCCTTGCTTACAATGTAAAATTGGGGTTCTTTGAACCAGCATTTCCATGTGAACGAGTTGTTGCGATTCTGCGAGGCTTCTAGACTGTCGTGTTCTGGTCGTCTCGGCTCTTTTAATCCGACGTGGAAAACCACCATGAAGAAGACACCTGTGCCCACCACAATCATGCCAAGATACTAGAAGATGAGAAAAATTTTTAAATTGAATAGATAAAATCAAACGTCCTTCATCCGCCTAGCTATTTTTACTAATCGCTTAGATAGACCTGTAACATACTCGACTTCGATTTTCTGAAGGTTCCAGCTTAGAATCAATCAACACTCTACCCCAAAAAAAGTTCTGGTTACGCTCAGGAAGGAAGCTAACATGATCCAATCAACTATGAGCCAAAGAAGCGAAACTTAAAGGTGTGCATACATGAAAGAAATATATATTTCAAGAAAATTGTTCAACTAGGTATTATAATAAACATCGCCTAGGCGCTCATGATCTCCGCGTTTTATTTGTTGCGTTAGTGTTACCTTGAATGCGTCGAGATCCTGTGGGCCGACGTTGTCCGAAGACGAATCTCCTCCGAGCACTGAGAGGAGAATAGTGAAGACGACAAACACAAAGATGTTACTACTCACTGTGAATGCATACCTGTGAAAAAAACAAGAAATTTCAAGATATGCCCTCTCTTTAGTTGCGTATATAGGGGGGGGGGGGGGGATGGGGTGTCGGGGGGAGGCGGACGCTTTATCTACTTCAGGGTTTCGACCCCGTGCCGATCCAAAAGGTCCTCCCTTTGTCCTTTGTACTATTTTGAGATATCCATTTTTGGCTGACTGATCTTGAAATTTTTCTAGAGGCGACTTTGGACCAAATATATATACTAATTTTGAGAGGCGAACTCGCGCCGAAAAAACTCATTTTTTGGCCTGTTTTTAAACAAAAGTTGGGGCAGACAATTTGTTAGGAATGGGTTTTTTATAGGTCAGAAAGTTTTATAGGTTTATGAGGATTTGGGAGAGCTCAGAAAATCCATTTGCTCTCCCTAAAAAAGGTTGACGTAGTTTTTGACTTTTTGAAAAATCCGCCCCCCCCCCCTCTCTAGAGAAGTCTCTAGATCCGTGCCTGCTTCTTTTGCAGAAACAATGCATAATCTTACAAGATAAACTTCTTCTATCAATAGCAGGGGCGGATCTTGCTTAGCAGCTTAATAGTAAATTTCTACTAGATTCGAGAAAAAAAAATCATAGTTACTCGTTAACATAGTTTAAAGCATTTGGTAGAAAATTACCAGGTTTTTCCACGTGTTTCTAATCCCCCGAGGAGAGCAATAAATTTCAGTAATAAATAAAATATATTTGGAAAAAAAGCATGCAAAAGATTCGGTCAAATATTTCAGACATATACAAAAAAAATAATCATTGGATTACACGAAACAATGTACTATACATGATAATATCGAATAATTTGAAGGAAAAAAAACATTTTTTGGCAAAATTTAACTGCCAATTTAAAATTTATATATTTTAACAATTGACCTTTTTAATACGAATTAGAGTTCCCTCATCTACCTAATGAAGATTTTAAAAAAGATATCAAACAAGATATTAACCGAGTGATTTTTAAAATACTCTTCGAGTTTTTTCTCAATTTTATCAACAATATTTCAAAAAATGTTTTCATCAAACTTAATAATTGCCTTAAGCAACGCTCTTGTTCTGTTTTTCAGGCAATTCAACAATTTTTTTTGTCATTTCTGTTTTAAGGACCTTTATTCTGTTTTCTCCACTAAGTGATTCTTTCAATTCAGTTTTGGTTATCGCTGACTTTAAATCGTCATTATGTGAATCATTTCCTAAATACTTTGCTAAAAAGCTAGTCTGCTGTTTTTTGAAAGAATCTATTTTACTGTTAGTTATTTCCGCTCAAATCGTGCCTCACGCACAGTGTCAAAACTTCTTTGATTCAAGCAAAGTATCCGTAGACCGTGTTGGTTTTTCTCTAAGTCTTCACTTATAGTTTTGTTGATATTACAGTGCCTCTTGGAAGTGAGCCAAATTCGAATACAGGACTACATAGGTGTTGTAAGTTTTCGGTTATTACTTGTTTGTTAAATATTTTCTCAATGTACACAAAATTGCTGAGCTTTCAGCCTGACTTTTTCTATTTTTTCCCCTATTTTTCATGAGACTCAAAATCAATTGCATTGTAATTCATTTTTTCCGATAACTTTTTTGCACGTTTGGCAATTTTTTTGTTTCGAAAAAACCATAAGTTATTTTTGGATAATTTATCTAAAATTTTTGCTATGGGGCGATATGGAGTTATACAATTGTATTCTTAAGTTATTTTCAAACAACCCGGGAAAACGTTACCAAATTAACCCTATTGATTAACAACGTCTGACTTGATTCTGGTACAGGGTATTAATCATATAATTAATAATGCCAATATAATCTATCAATAGTTTGTTTTATAGTTTTGAAAATGTATTTAACACTTAGCTGACATTTTTTGCGACAATGCTACAGTCATAGAAAATTTTGAGTAAATTTCCATTTTTTCACTATTATTTTCATGATCTCCTGCCATTTTCTCTTCAATTATTGTTAAAACAAACTGTTCAATTGGTTCGCAGACTGTCCAAATGCCAGTTATTGAGTTTCGTGTTTTATAGTTTTCATCATTTTGTGAAAATTGTTTTAATTATTGGTTTGTTCATCTGTTATCTAGTTTTGCAAAAAAGCACGGTTTTGAAATACAATTAGGGATTTGACCTTATTTCGTTGCTTTCTTTAAGCTCGTCAAATTTTATCAGTTGGCTCATTTATCAGTTTTTTTAAATTAATTTTATTGTTGGTATTCTGATTTAACCATGATTCAAAAATCTTTTTTTAGATTTTATATGTTTTAAATGTATCGATTTAATAGCTTTTTGTATTAAAACGCTTGATTTGTTTCCAAACATTCGAAGTGGTTTTCGTTTGTTTACAATTCATTTAGCATCCAAAATAGCTATTTTAATTTCTTGTCCGTTTGATTTAGATTTTTGGTCAAATCTGGTCATTTGGTGGCGTCCTTCATGATTATGGCGGAACTAAATGTTGGAAGTTTATATTCAGTATGTTTGAGCCAATCAGTTTTAAGTATTCAAAATTTCAAACGAATCGCAAAATTTTCCATGAAAACGTACAAGACTGTTGATTGTTTTTTAAAGAAGAACTTAAGGGCCACGTTGAGATCCTCCACCGCATCGTCCAATTTGAATTAGTATTGCTGAGCGTTGCATGTAAAATGCCCCTATTCTGATTGGCTCAAAACTAGAACTCAGAACCCGGTCAACATCCTCCTCACTAACGGCTTTGGAGATTTTAATTTGGTCGGAACAAAAACAGAAAAAAATGCAAGATATGTACGTCTTTGCTTAAGATTGGCAATCCCAAATAAATTTAAGAATATGATTGGCATGTTCTTTTTTAAAACTCTTTTAATATTATGTTGTAAAGCTTGAACTGTTGTCTTGAGTGTCATTTTGGCGAGTTTTGAACAAAGTTGATACTAGATTTATGATCTGAGCCACGACCCCAACATTTACTTGACTTCGATAATTTTCTCAGACTTCCAAAAATGTCGTAAGCTACTATCAACTTGAGAAGAGTTTGAGCTTAAAGGGGTGGGCAGGATGAGGGGGAGGCCACTGAAATACTCAAAAATGTTTGTCGGTCAAGCATTTTTGTCGCAGTTCGTGTTAGCGTTTGGTGAATTTAACCCAGACAATTCATAGGAATTTTATAGAAAACAATCTCATAGAAAACATTATTAGCAATTTTTGCATAACTTTACAAAATAAATTAATACAAGGTCGGCGCCATATTATGAAAACAATGATGCCGATTTATCAAGTTCATGTTGTCGCGTCTGTTGTGTCTAGTTGATGTCCAGACAAAAATCGATATCTTAAAATTATGCTTCCTTCGTTTTTGTTGAACGGTTTATTGTTTACAGAGACATCCGGATATCCGGACATCCAGACATTTACAGAGACATCCGGACATCCAGACATCCGGATATCCGGTGAAGTTGTCTGGGGTTGCAGATTTTACACGTACTTGTTGAAGACCCCCTAAATTTTTTGGAACCTGATCTAAACTATATTTTATGATTGGATAAATTAAATGTTTTACCAATGTAAAGTATTTAATATTAACCAATCATGATCCATCTAACTAACAACCCACTTATTTGTAAGTGCTGAAGTTACTTGTAATTTCAGCACCAGAGAGATTTGAATTTAACTTAGAAATTAGTTGGACTCTCCCGAGCACTTCAGCAGCCGCAATAAACCAGTATACCCTAGATCTATTGAGCCTAGCAGAGACTAGTTAAACAACCTGAGACTAGATAGTATAAGAGTAAGATTAGGATCGGTATTAGACTAAGAAGTTGCACGAATCTATCCGGCCGAAAATAAGATAGCGTGACGAGCAGACGGTGTACCCTATCCGAAATTACTCTATGAGTTATACATCCCAGTCCTAACTCATCTGGTGCGACCATAAGTCTCGAACAAGACCTTACTAGATTAGAATTAACCAAAAATAGATTAGAAATTAGACAAAAACATTTACAAAATGTTATACGACAATAATTTAATTGAAATGTCTCTCCGACTCAATAGATCAGAGCCAATATTCCGAACCATAATAGAACTACCCGGAATTGGAAGAAGACATCGAACCAAAGACGACATACGACAAAGTAGAAACTTGCCGTATAGTTATATGATAGTTCGGCAAAAGCCAGAACAAACTTTTATATTTCGAATACTACTTGCAATGAATTTAGATTTCCATTTGCAAACATAAAACCTTGAAGTTAATCTTCAAAATCATTTCAGGCGCTAAACAAAATTAATATTATACAATAACGATTGATAAAAAGATCTAAGATCGTTTTCCTAAAACTCTGCAGTATTATACAAAACATGTTTGAAAAATATTTATTGGAAAATAAAAATAAAAATTAGTAGCATGACAATAAATGGTTAGTAATCATAAATCATCTTGTTGTTCCAGCTTCATCACCTAAAACATAACAGCAATCATCAACTCACTAACATCATAAAACACTAAATCTTTCCTTTACACACATTTAAAAATTTATCAAAACTCAAATTCACTTAATTTTAAAACCAGATCATCAAGGCTTATCCTTGGATCTTAAATCATTTTCTACTTAATTAAATTTCAAAATTGATCATCAAGGCTTATCCTTGGATCAAACAGAACAACTTTGTTCTCCCCCACCCACTTAATTAGTGTCTAACGACCTCAAACGTCGATTCACTACCCAACCCTCTCTAAAAACCCAGGACTAATAGAAATTTTTACACAAAACTAATCATTCAAATTAGGATAAACAGTGAAGAACTTCGGTTATTCATCCTTCACTTGACCCCCCCTCTTACCAGACCCAGGATAAATCTTAGACTTAGTAAGTTTAAAATAGTATCTAACGAACTACTCGCGTTCTAATTATACCTGAACCTTGTGGATCGATTTACTATTCTCCAACCCTTGAACACAATCACTACCCCTAAGTAAGATTAAGTAAGTTAACACCTTAGCTTATACTAGTCACGAGAAAGTAAA